CAATTATTCCTCATAATATGAATCCTTGATCTTTGGCAAGGGTTGACATAATAAATTAGATGCTCACTAAGCGAGCTGTGCAACTGACTCAGGCGAGCAGGACATCTTTTCATATGCCACAATGACGCACTCCAGCCTGCACTGTGGTTCATGGTCATTTTGTCATCCACTTCATTCCCCCCTTTTATTGCTTTCTTTATTTGGGGAATATAAGAAACTACATTAAACTACTTTAAATTAAAAAAATATTAACATTTCTTTTCCTTTGCTCATGTTATTGAGAATTTTTAAATTTCGTGCAGACTGGGATAAATACGTTCCTCTTTCCACAGAAGAATATTACCTGGGTCACATGTCCACATGTCCACAGTCTGCTTGTTTTTGATATATTTAAATGTTTTTGTGCAGATGAAGGTTGTGTGACCAAAGGCCTTGCTATTTAATTCAAGTCAAACACAGCACTGTGTGCTGACATATTTGGACAAGGTTTTTGAGATTAAAGGAAAGCAAGCTATTTTGTTTTTCTTTTATTGGGACTAGAGTCTAGTCTTGAGTCTCTGTGTGCTCATTCACATTCTGATGAAGCTACTGACTCATGTGTTTGATTGTGCTAAAATTGTTCTTCAGAGATGAAATCCTTACGGTGCAATTGAAACTAATCTGAAAATGCATATTTTTATTTTATTTATATAGGGGAAACAGAATACTCTGAGCTCTGATAAACATGCCAGAACTTTTCCTGAGCCCAAAAACAGCCTTTTAAGACAATGTTGTTTCAGTAATTCATTAGCTTGAAATACTGTTATTTCCACATGATCAGCTGTTTCATTTTTTTTTATTAACTTTCTGTTTACATGTTTTAAAACTGACAGTTTACCCTCAAAGAGACAGTATTGAATGTAGTTTAGTACAGCTTCCCTGAGAGACAATAATCATTCAAAGTTTAAATTTAGAGGGTTCATTACTGGTGTAGTTTTCCTCTGACTGACAGCCATGGTGGAACAGTGACAGTGGCTGGACAATTCAACAGGCCTGCTCTGAGATGTACAGTAATTGCCTACCGAGCCAGTCGGGCCAGCCACTGTATGACCTGAGCAAATACAATACAGACTGTGTGTGCCAACTAATTAATATCTGCTCTTTGCTTGAGGGAGGATAGGGTTTAGGCAGGAGTTGTATTTAGGTGGAGAAATTTTCTGATATGTGCATGGTATTATAGATTTGTTTTAGAGAATAATGTCCAGGTAATGGTGTCTACAAAGTTATTGTACATGCATTTATGTTAGGTTAGGGCTGGAAAGTGGCTTCGTATGGGGCCCTGAAGCTTTATGACAGCATGGCCTGATGCCAAAGAATGGGTAAACAGCACTTGAGCTTGAATACTGAGCCCCCATAGGAATGTGCACCCATTCTTTAGCACATTTAATTGTGCATTATTAACAGCTGCAGGTTCATTCTACATTGTAGCAAGGAGGGAAAAAATAATATTAAAACTTCTCATGAGATGGCATTTAAGCCATAAGTTAGGTTAAAGATACGCATGATGTCCGTCATCTTGTAACCAGAGCTCACTAGGATCTAAATGACGTGCAAATGTCAGAGTTGAGGTGTGAAAGCTGCAGAGACACTGGCTGCTGTGAAGAAATTCACACGTAAGGTTTCTGGTTGTATCCAACATGTTGTCTGAGTCCTCAGAAATCCATCCGAGCTACCAAAACTAGACAGTACTCAGAGA